GTGACCGGCAACGGATCGCAACCCTCAGTGTCGCACCCGTACCGGACCGGGATCGGCAATGGGATCGCAACCCTCGGCATTGCGCCCGCACCTCGCTCAACCAGTGAGCGGCCAGTCTGTATGTGGGATCTGAGCCCTTGTCGGGTGCGCCACCGCACTCCCAAGCGGCGCACTGTAGCAGTGCGCCACCGGGCCGGCCCTAAGCTGACACTTTAATTCCAACTGTCTTAGTCAACACCATCTCTCAATTGATCCCAACCCAAGAGAGAGGGCAAAACAGAGTATTACCTATTGATCTCTGAATTTGGGTAATATTACCTGACAAATTTGAGAAATAAATAGGACTGGCATTTGGGGATCAAAATAGCAAATAAGAATTAAGGTTTCTGGCATGGTCAGGGCCTTTAAGTTTTGAAGATTGAGGTTTCTGGCATAGTCAGGGCCTTTAAGTTTTAGTAGGGATCATGTGTACTTCTTTTAAACTTTTTATTAAAGAAAACTTCAAACATTTACAAAGGTGGAAAAAAATAATATAATGAGGTCCCATGTACCCACCACCAGCTTCAATAATTATCAACTCTTACAATATACCCACTTCCCTCATTATTTTGAATTACATCCCAGAAATTACATTAATCTGTCAATATTTTGGGAGTATCTCTAAAAAGATAAGAATTAGCTTTACAAAAACATAACCACAATCCTGTAATCCTACCTAAAAAAAATTTGCAAAAAATTCCTTAATATTATTATTGAATAATTACACTGAATAGTGTTCACATTTCCCCTATTGTCTTATAAATTTACTTTTTTAGAGTATGTTAGTTTGAAATGGGATCAAAATAAGATCCAAACACTGCAATTTTTTTTAAACAAGTCATTTTTAAACTACAAGTTCCATCTCCTCTTTATTTATTTATTTTTTGAAGAAGCCAGATTATTTGTCTTGTAGAGTTTCCATAGTCTGGATTTTACTGTTTGCATTCCCATGATTTCATTTAAAATGTTCCTCTGCCCACTATATTTTCTGTAAACTGTTGGTTAGATCTAAATGCTTTATCTGATTCCAGTTTATTTTTTTCTGGCAAGTATACTCCATAGATGGTGTTCATCTTCCAATACACTCATCAAGATTGCAAAATACTGATATTCTAATTCCAATACCCTTTCTTCATTTATTACCTGAATAGTCCTAAAAAGAAAAACTTCCCTTCATCAGGTTTCACATCCCCATACTGACCAGCCACCAAAAAAAAAAAAAAGAAAAGAAAAAAAAGAAACTATTTGATTGCCTTCAGGTATAGTTCATACAGGTAAAGTAATCAATCTTTTTTTTTTCCCAAGGAGCCCTGTTTCTCTCTAGGTCTAGGAGTTGCCATTTATTTCTGAGCCCTTTGAATTGCTTTGGCTACTTTGTAAAGAAAAAAAAAATCATATGTATGAATCTAGTTTTAGATTCTCTATTTGTGCCATTGAAATATTTCTCTCTTGATGTCAATATCACACTCTCCTAATTAGTGTAGCTGTAATAAGCCTTGATATTGGGTAGTAAGTCTTCCAGATTTGTTATTTTTTTTTTAAAGATGACCGGCAAGGGGATCTCAACCCTTGACTTGGTGTTGTCAGCACCANTTTTTTCTTTTGCATTTGTTTATAAATTTTAGAATAAACTGTCGATTTATAACCCCCCCCCTCAAAAAAAAGACCTATTGAGATTTTCTTTGGGATTTCCCTGAATCTGTAGATCAAGTTGGGAATAACTGATATCTCAATATTAAGTCTTCCAATTCATAAACATGATACATGTCATTATTTATTTAGTTCTTTAATTTTTTTCCAAAATGTTTTATAGTTTTCAGTTTAGAAAACTTGTGTAAGTTTCATTAGATATATTCCTAGATATTTGATATTTTGGATGATATCTTAAATAGAATTGTTTTAAATTTTCATTTCCTAATTGTTTACTGCTAGTATATAGAAACACAATTTATTTTTGTATATTGACCTCATGTCCTGCTACTTCATTAGTTCTAACAGTTGCCTTGGAGAGTCCTGGTGAGTAAGAATTCGCTATGTAAAAAGTCATGTTGTCCAAAAAATGAAAACAGTTTTGTTTCTTCCTTTTTATTCTGTGTGCCTTTTGTTTCTTTATCTTGCCTTATTGTACTGGCCAGCATCTCTGGCATGATGTATGTAAGAGTGGTATGAGCAGAAATCCTTGCTTTGTTCCCAGTCTTAGGGGGAAGCTCACAATAATTCATCATTAAGTACGATGTTATCTGTAGACACTCTCTATCAGGTTGAGAAAGTTTTCTTCCGTTCCTAGCTTGCTGAAAAGTTTTTAACAATAACGGATGCTGAAATCCGTGAATGCTTTTGCTGCATCTATTTCAATAGTCACATAATTTATATCCTTTATCCTGTTAATGTGATGAATTACATTGATTTGATTTTTCAAATGTTAACCTTACATTTATGGGATAAAGCCTACTTGATCATCATTAGCACACTTGTACATTATTTGTAAGTATCATATCATCATTTGTATATTTCATATATTGCTGGGATTGATTTGCTAGCATCTCATTAAGGAATTTTGTGTCTATTTCATAAGAGATATTGGATATACATTTCTTATTGATATCTCTGTCAAGGTTAACCTGGCTCCATTTCTCAAAAAATTTGGTGTAGGATTTATTACTTCTTCTGTGTGTTAGCTAGAACTCCCCAGGGAAATGTTCTGGGTCTGGAGTTTTCTTTATATGAAGGTTTCTGATTATAAATTTAATTTCATTAATATATTTAGGGTAATTCATATTTTCTATTTCTTCTTGTGTCAGATTTATTAAGTTGTGCTTTCCAATAAATGAGTTCATTTCATCTAAGATATCAAATTCATTAGTAAAAATAGACCATAATATTCCTTTACTTTTTAAAAATATCTATAGGATCTGTAGTTATACCCCTCTTTCATTATAGTAATTTGTGATTTTCTCATTTTTATTCATCAGTATTTTTAGGAGTATAACAGTTTTAATGATCTCTTCAAAAAATTAATTTTTTACTCTATTAATGTTCTCTGGTTTTTTTACTTTTAATTAATTTCCACTCTTATCATTTCCTTCATTTCTTTATATTATTTCCTTCCTTGTTTTTACTTACTTTGGTTTTAATTTGATCTTCTTTTTGTAGCTCCTATAGGTGGACACTTAGATAATTGATGTTACATCTTCCTTCTTTTCTATTAACCATTTAAAGCTATAAATTTCCTTCTATGCACTGCCTTATTTGTATAACACAAATTTTGATATGTTATCACCAGTTGTAAATATTGTCTAATTTCTCTTCTGTTTTCTTCTTTCACCCATGGCTTAAAGAATTGTGCTGTTTAACTTCCAGATACTTGGAGGTTTTTCTTTCTATATTGTGGTAATCTGTTTGTAATTTAATTCTGTAGTGATCAAAAAACATATTCTTTAAGATTTCAGTCTTTTCAATTTATTGGCTTATTATTTTTGACTCTGCATATCTTGGTGAACATACCATGTGCATTTGTGCTCTGTTTCCATCCCACTTGGATGTACTGCACTTCAATTCTGGTATTAACTACCCAGAGTTAGCATCAGACTCCACAGACTCTATCCTCCACAAGACTTCCCTC